TTCCCCCCACCTAGTTTTTTTTTCTTTTAAATATTTTTTAGTTGGGACTCATGTGAGGATATTAGATCAATCAATCAAATCTTGGACATTTCTAGTTTTAGGGAAAAAACTAATGCTCAAGGGTTAGGATCATTTTCAACAATTATTGACCTTTATGCTATATTATGTTTTTGTATTTCATCTACAGTTGCATCAGCAGTTATCAAAATTCTACTGCATATAGAGCTAAGGGTTCTCTATAATATAAAAACAAAATCATATTAGACAACTGATCTATTAATTAATAACATGTATCATAAAAGAGTACTTAGTTATACACTTATTTTGCAGTACATTGAAAAGATTGTTTTGCTTATAACTTTATAACAATTCATTATTAACCCTTGGAGTACCGGCCTCTTTTAACCGTGATTTTGATGACATGTGTTCTTTTTTAATAATCCTTTTACTTTTCAGCCAATATTTTCGTAAGATCTGACCTTTTCTTGTTTTATTCTATAGAAAAAAATGAGAACGATGTTCCTTATTTAGAACAATTAATACAAAAGACACGTTTGACAGAATGATCACTACAAACGAACGAAGAACAACTGAAACATTGAATTGATGTTTTCTTGTCCGTAGAACGTTCACAAATGGAGCACCTTTTTCGTTTTGGTTGAGTGGGATTTTCATTCGCTTCTGCCGGATCGTTCTTCGACACAGGATAACCGACGATTGCTAAAGCATTTAGAATATCTGTGTTCAAAAATTTCGAGTTCTTCGAACGAAAATCCAACAGATGCGATACCAGTGCTAATCCTAATTCTTCCAAAAATAATCGACGTTTATGATTTGTATTCTGATTCCATTGAGGATTTTTCACTTTCCAGACAATCAGAGCATTTATGGCAGCAATGTCTATCATCCCATAGAAAATACAAACTGGCCATCGCTTTGTATCTCGTTTTACCTGAAAAGTAAAATAAGCTATAGAAATACTGAAATATTTTTTACCGTGTATTTATGACACATTTGATCAACAGTATCGACAGCCCCCTTTGTTTTGTTATAATCCAATATAATGATCGGTTTTCCAGTTTTATTGTCCACTTGATTGTCGTGATGTTTTGAGGAGAGCAATAAAACAGCTTTATTCTGTTTTGGGACAAATGAAACTAAGGTTAAACCATCTTGGAAACCAAAGAGCGAAGAACCCACTTCACGATTTTCGTTGGATTGAAACTCGATAGGTATTTCTGACTTGTTTTTTCGCAGTGTTCCTATAAGAGTCAGATTCTTTGTTTGAAGCGTTTGGGCTAATGGAACACTTGTGAAGAAATTATCTATTGTAACGTTTCTTTGGAAGCCGTAAAGTGGTTTGAGTAATTCTAGAACGACTTTGGCACCTATCTGTGTTTGTCTTTGCTCATTCGGTTGTCGTCCAACGTAAGGAAATGCATTGAATACATAATGTGAGTCCACATCAACGCATAGCCAAAATTTTAATCCGTATTTGTCAGGCTTTTTTGGCATATATTGACGGAAGGAACATTTTCCTCTAAATCCTAGTAGTTGTTCATCAATAGTAACATTTGATCCCGGTGTGTAACATGTTTGTAAGCAATTTTGGAAATATGACCAGATTTCACGAATTGCTGCAAATTTATCTGTTCGTTTTCTTTCTTCCCTTGTTCTTTTGTCGTCAAATCTCAAACAAGAAATAATATCCTGAAAACGAGTTCTTGACATAGTGGCTTTGAATATTGGCGGTTCTAATGGACTTCTTCTCCATAAGCATTTCAGATCGATCTTCGATTTCCCCAATAAACCAGCAAGCAATAAAAGTCCAATAAATGCTTTCAATTCTATGAGTGTTATTTCTTCAATTTTTTTCGTGGAGGTATTCTTGTGAGTATACTCCAAGTTTGAATAATCCAAGATTTTTTCCAGAAGTTTGTTTGGCATAAAACACATGAATGCATCTTCGACAGATGAAATATTTTCACTGGTATTTGTAAGACCAGCTTTTTGAATAACATCATTCGAAAAATCATTTTTCGTTGAATGATGAGGAGTTGAGGACCAAATCATTCCAGAACGGGAAGTATACGAACTTTTCCATGTGGAGTCATCGTCTAATTTTAGGTTTTCTAAATCAATTTCATCATCATCGTCGGATGTTTGGCTTTCGCCATCTCCCGTTTCCGAACCGCTGTTTGCATCATCGAAATAATCACTGTCGCTTCCGGTTTCACTTGAACTGTCCATAATCTTTATGAAAAATATTTCAATGGATTGAAAATGCACACCCCTTTAGATCAGAGAATGACTCATTTTATTAGACATTAGAATTTTCATTGTTTCTCCGTTTTGTAAAAAACATATTACTGATACAATGTTTTACTAAGGGGGCGCACTAATATGGAGAAAGAATGTATTTCGTTCTAGATTCATTATCATATATCTCTTCGTAAAGGTTACTAGCTGCTGCTGAAAACTGCGAAACAACAAAACATGTTTAGCATTTTTCGGAGATTTCGAGCGTGGGGTCAAAAATGACCCCGGCTGGTACTCCAAGGGTTAAAAAGTGAAGTTTTTATCATTAGTAAAGTTTCATACAAGCTATCGAAATAATAAAAAAAAATAGGGAAAAGATCATGATTCTTAAAATGGCGATTCAAACTTTAGGAGAACGACAACGGAGCAATACGGTATCACCAAAAAACAGCTATCATCTCTAGGTTTTGAATGTCACAATTCGTTTTTCATTCAAAATAATTATGATTTCCGAAATCAGCATATCAAAATACACCAGAAACTCTACAATTTATCTGAAAAATTTTCCCATGAAAATTTTCCTCTTACTCCTCCTCAGCCTTTTCTGAATAGAATTTTAGGCTGTACCCCCCTACGGGTGAAAATTTTCATGAGAAAATTTTTCAGATAAATTGTAGAGTTTCTGGTGTATTTTGATATGCTGATTTCGGAAATCATAATTATTTTGAATGAAAAACGAATTGTGACATTCAAAACCTAGAGATAATAGCTGTTTTTTGGTGATACCGTATTGCTCCGTTGTCGTTCTCCTAAAGTTTGAATCGCCATTTTAAGAATCATGATCTTTTCCCTATTTTTTTTTATTATTTCGATAGCTTGTATGAAACTTTACTAATGATAAAAACTTCACTTTTTAATAATGAATTGTTATAAAGTTATAAGCAAAACAATCTTTTCAATGTACTGCAAAATAAGTGTATAATTAAGTACTCTTTTATGATACATGTTATTAATTAATAGATCAGTTGTCTAATATGATTTTGTTTTTATATTATAGAGAACCCTTAGCTCTATATTCAGTAGAATTTTGATAACTGCTGATGCAACTGTAGATGAAATACAAAAACATAATATAGCATAAAGGTCAATAATTGTTGAAAATGATCCTAACCCTTGAGCATTAGTTTTTTCCCTAAAACTAGAAATGTCCAAGATTTGATTGATTGATCTAATATCCTCACATGAGTCTCAACTAAAAAATATTTAAAAGAAAAAAAAACTAGCGGGGGGGAATAGCCTATGGAAAATGAGGGACTTCCTTTGCTGAAACACTTGTTTTTCTCTATGGCATCCTATGTAATTTTTACCGAGACCAAACCTCTTCGAATTCTAAAAGAATTCAAACCTGAACGGTTTTTTCGGCGTTAGAACTCACAAAAAAATTGACAATTCTTACTACAGACGCTTGGTGAGAAGTGTGGCATTACAATAAGTAATGTCTGCGATTCATTTAGTACAGAACTTCTCAAAATTCTTGTCGAAAGGAAAATAATTACTGTCATACAAAAACAATACTATATAAGCTTACGAAAAAACATTCCCGAGTGATTCACTCTGTTTACATTCATGTTGTGTCCATATGTGGAAAACTATTAGATTAGAATAATCTCCAAAGGATTCGTGCACTTATTGAAATTTAGTCGAAATTTCTAATTTTTAGTGGATCTTTCGTATAGGACGTTAATTTTCGAATAAATCCATATCTTTATATTTCGATCTAAAACTTTGTCAACGTGAAGGTCTTGCTATAGCTAGGTTATCTATAAAATTTTATCAATTTTGGACATTGCATCTTTGAAATATAAATTTCCCAAAAGAAGGTACTATTCTATAGATATGCACAACGTAAAGCATTGATATTTTGAAAGATTCATATGTCAGCGACGCAATGTTTAAAAATGATGAAACTTTACACATGCGCTAGTCATTAGAAGATCTTCATGTTAACAAAGTTTTAGACCAAAATTCGACGATATAATTTCACTCGAAAACTAACGTCCTATAGGAAAATCCACGAAAAGTTAGAAATTTCGACTAAATCTCTACAAGAGTACGGACCCTTTGGAGATTGTTCTAATCTAATGGTTCCCTATATATGAACATAGCATGATTTAGGATAGAGCGAATCACTTGAGAATGTTTCTTCGTTATTATTATATTA